ATTCCAGGGGTATAGATGAAAAAAAGGGTAATTTTTAAAGTGACATTCTCACATAGATTAAAATAACTTTTAAAATAAGTAATTTCTCACTGACACTAAAATAATTTGCATAATATTGGGAAAATTTACTTATCTTCTCTAAATGTTTTAAAGCTTTATTTGAAGAGCTGTGAGAGCATATTTCATCTCACTAGATAATTTTGATAATTAAGTTTAATACAATACATACRATTTCTGGTAAATTGCTTAGCATAAAATAGGCACTGGATAATTTTTAGTTTGCTTTTTTYCCCCTTCATAATTCATAGCCACTTATATTCTAGAAACAGGTTTTTTTAGAAATCTGATGTTTAAAAGTGGTAGGCAACAGATCAAAAAGATGCTATCTTGGGTGGTCATTTGGTCACCGAATTTTTTCAAAGCTCAATTTTGCTGTGATCACAGCTGTTTTGTTGGAGCCAGTAGCAATTAAAATTGTTTTACAACTCAAAAAGTTACAACCACCATATACTCTCAGAGCTTGCTGAATATGGGGGAAATCAATAGGCACTTAGTAGGCTTTTTAACTTTTTAATTCTCAGAGCCTCATGGCAATGTCTGAGAGTCTTATGAATGGGGAGGATTTTTATTTTTAAGTGTGAATTTTCAGACTATAATATGAAAGTTAAGGAAGGATTCCATTTGCATAGATGGATGGCACTGTTAYGCCAAGTCTCAGTAACAGGCCAGGGAAGGAGAAAGAGGAGAATGGGGAGGGCAAAAGGAAGCCCACAACATGGYGGGGTGGGGTGGGAAATGAGCCAGAGCCACAACACTCCAGTTTTCATTTTGTGGACTAAGGATCTGTAATCTTGGAATAGCTAGGGTTACACAAAGATGGTCTCTATTTTTCTAGGTATTGGTTCGCTGGGATGTTGAATATATTAGCATATTAAAAGCACATTAAGGACAAATAACACTTGACTAGCAGCTGAAAGGTTTAGTTAATAAAATAAAGAATTCATTGTAGTATTCTATTTATGGTAGTTCAGAGTTTTCAATTTGCTGGAGTTGGAGTTGGCATCCCTTTCTCCATGAAGAAAGTTAAACGTGTTAATTGTCTAGTCTCCAGAAGCCAGGATCGGTGGCCATGGCCATGCCACCAGTGGAGGGTCACCCCAGCTGTGGTTGTGTTTGCACCCTGTGCCACAGTTGTTCCTTCCTGCCATCATAATCTGGCCTACCAAAAGTCTGCCAAGACCCATGACCTATCTATCTCACCCTTTCCATATGGCCCTTCAACCTTTGTCTTGAAATTAGAGCAAGCACACTCTATCACGCCCTGAGAGCACGTACATCTGCAGAGCCACACAGCTTAAAACCCCTCAGCCATCTTTGGATTCCCTGTGGCCGTCTTATCCTGCTGAAATTGGTTGGTAAAGCCTAGGAGCTTCTGAATTTCCATTACTTTATCAGTGTACCTTGTTAATGACATAGCTTAATTTGCATACCAGTTGTACCTTTTCACCACAGGTAAGAAATTGAAATGTTCAAGGTCAATTAACTGCAAATGTTTCAAGTGGGCCAGTGCCGTTGGAACTGTGAGGAACGCAGGGAAGAGGGAGCGGTCAGTGAGGGACTCCACTTTCTCCTGATGAGAATCGATGATCCAATTTTAACCCACTAGAATCATGCTGATTCTTTCTTCCTGGCTGTGCTTCTCTCATGTTTGCGTTTTAAATACTGGTCTGTAAAGGTGTGTGTGCTGAAATGTCAGAGAAATACTGTGAAATTCCAGATTTAAAAAAAAAAAAAAACAACCTCATTACTGATTTTAGATCATTAAAATTAACTACAAAGAGCAGGAAGCAAAATAATTGGCATTTTTCTCAAAGGCATAGGATGCTATAGATAAAATTTCAAATGTAAAACTTTCAAGTAAAGTCAWTAGCTGTCTGGAGGCACTTCCCTAACTTCTCTTGATAAAAAAAGGATAAAAATTCAGAGAGATATACAGTGGTAGCAATAAGTGGACCAAGGATGCTTGGTTAACATCAGATCCCAGAAGACTTTCAACTTTGAGGCTTTGGATGGGCCATGGGGTGAAATAGTAAGGTTAGAGAGACCAATGGAAGGAAATGTTCCTTCATTCACCACCCCCATCATTGCCTGCACTTCCAAGACGTGGTCCAGACATGTTCACCAGAGGGAGGGAGGTTGCTCAGTAGCTAAACCCTAASGGTGTCTTATTCCCCTCAGCACTGTCTTTTCTATAGCTACAGGGAACTACCAGTCCCCGCTTACTCATCATGAAAATACACCAGGCGCTGTTGTGTCCTTGTTAAGAGCCCTGTACCTCTTGCCTGTTCTGTAGGCAAGGACAAGATGTTCAAGCTCTGTAACTGACTCATCTTCTATGAAAAAGGTTGCTTTGAAAATTAAATAACAGTGCTTCCCAGAGTGTCTGACACAATATACGCACATGCTGCACAAATACTAAGTTCTACCGTAGTAAATAAGTGCAGGAGGATGGATGTTGTTTCATTGTAGCCCGAGAAATGAAGAGTGGAAGACACGTTGACTCAGATTTTAAAATAATGCTATGGGGCAGTTCCCATGGAGGGTTCAGGAACTCCCTGAGCTGCCTGTGGCAGGGCACTATTTAAGGTGCACTTCAGAGCCTTCAGGGATGATTACCATGTAGATAGCAGTCTGCAGGACTGAGCCGTACCCCTCATGGACTGCAGATAGCAGTGCCAAACAAACAGCACCAACACACCTAAATTCAGCCAGTGCCCTTGACTACCCAGTAAGCTCTCTTGCCTAATACGTGAGAACATTCTACTTGTTAACATAAAAAAGGTAGAAGGTATTGGTGACCAAGAGAACTTCATCGAGGTCACCCAAGGTTCTGAAAAGACAGAGGAAATTAAAAGTAAAAATTTGCTAACAGAAATTTTGCAATGTGCTAAAGATTCTKGATCTCAGAAAGAGGGAGAGCTCTGTGTGTGGAGTTGAAGACATTTTTGGATAATGATTTGCTTTAAGAAAGAAGAAAATCTGAAAGAGTAGTTCTAAAGGGAATGGTGTAAGTGATATTGGGAATTGTACCCTAATGCAAGCAGAAGTTAGTGGGATGGCACCCGTAGAAGATGTTTTTAGAATTCTGGTCAGTTCCTCTTGAGGAGTTGATTATAGCTATACCTCAACCACTTCCTAAACTGGTCAGTCACCATGTGGGGTCACTATGCATCAGCCCTTATCACACCAAAGGTAGGCGCAGAAAACTAGAGGTAGCCCCTATGTCCTAGAGTTTCCAAGARCAATTATTCGAATTATCCAGTCCACGAAAAGCCTGCAAAGCCTGGCTAACCTCACCCTACCTCCTGTAATAAGCTGCTTCTTATAACTTCAACCCATTATTATCCTGTCCCCTGGTTGTAACCCCTTGTGACCCTGCCTGGAAGCCTTCTCTTGTTTGGAATTGCAGGTAGCAAAGTATTCTACCTTTCCTTTCATTTATCAGAGGGTCACTGTGTTGCGTTCCACCATCAAAAGACTCTTTAAAAAACTTATGAGATAGTTGTCAACACAGATGTGTCCCTTTGAGTCTTACAGAGTTGCATGCCTCCACCATCATGGAAACATTCACTGGGTCTCTTTGAATTGGGGTTTTACTCAAGGTTTCATAAAATAGGTCACAGATGTCAACAATAATGCTCATATAAAATTTCATGTAAATTAATGGTAATCTCTACTGAAAGTTTCAGACCTTATTACCGGGGCCTCTTGGTGGGTGGCAAAAGAGTAGGGAAAAGAAAACATACTAATATTCCCATTTGTGATGTTATGTAATAGATACTGCATTTTAATAGGAAYTGAATATCAGATAAATATGGATTCCAGAATGTGTCAGGTCCTACTTCCTGAGTTTTGTGATGGTTATGTATTACTTACATAATCATCAATGTCAGTTTTTTTAAAAAAATAAACTCCCAAAGTAATTTCCCAAATTACTATATTAAACTGGAAAAATGAATCATCTTAAGAAGACAGACAGGAATCACAGCTATAATCTGTATGTATTGGGGGGGAAAAAAAGAGTACAATCCATTCTGCTCTACCCAAACCTCCTTTTGTATACATCAAACTCCTGTCTTTCACTTCTGAGTGCTGAAGCTTAACTTGCTTAGAGACTTCTCCCTGGTTCTCCTTCACACAGCACTTCCCTTTCCCAGAGGGGTGGTGGTGTGTTGGTAAACTCCTTGGGTGGATGCTTATTTGTAGAGTTGCCCATTTCCATGCTTTAAGCACCACCACTAGTAGCAACTGCAGAGATGGTCGTGTTTAACAACTGGCTTGCAAAATGGAAAATTTAACAATCACACAGGGTTGCAAGTCAGCGCCAGCCACTGCTGTACACAGCTGTTCGTCTTCTTTGGTGTTATCACTTCTTGCACGTCATCTCACCATTAGTGTTTTCATGCTGTGCTTTCCCTGTGCCTCTCAGTGTCTGTCCTTCCCAGGACAGTAGACACCCCTGAGGGCAGGACTGTTCTTTGGCCGTTGTCTACCAAAATTTAACAATGAAATTCATTTCCTGTTTAAAAAGTCTAAGCATGACCAAAGGTAGTTTTCTAGTTCCTCCAGGTCTAGGTTTGCCTTTATAGCCATCCCTGAGTGAATGGATGGTCAGACAGTACCCACACATGTGTGYTGGCAGTAAGCTTGCGCCAAGTGTTGACCTGCATGTTCATCTTTCCAATGAGGCACCTAAAATGTTTAGCAAGAATCGGAGTTTTCCACAGTATGTTGGAATGAACATAACCAACATGGACTTCATCCATGTACACTAAATTCTGGATTTCTTATATTTTACTGCAGKTATGAGAAGTTTCATATCCTGGAAGTTTGACTTTCCTAAGTTCCATAGAAGAATACAGTCTTGTTGATATTTCCACTCAGAGATTTTTTAACTAATTCTTCTTTCCCAACTTCTCCTGCTTCTGTTTTCACTAAAGGAGCTGGTGGGTGGTCTCCACTTGTGTCCAACAAATACCAGTGGTTGCAGATCGACCTTGGAGAGAGAATGGAGATTACCTCTGTGGCTACCCAAGGGGGATATGGGAGCTCCAACTGGGTGACCAGCTACCTCCTGATGTTCAGCGACAGTGGCAGGAACTGGAAACAGTACCGACAGGAAGACAGCATGTGGGTATGTTTCTTAAATAAAAGCCACCGTCTCCCAGGGAAAGAGGTGCGGTCATAGCTGCAGCTGCATTGTCCATCTCTTAAGTTAAATACATACAGAATCTTCAGAATTGCTTTGAAAGTGCTTCTAAGAGAAAATAGGGCCAATATTTATCTTCTCATAAAATTCATGGCAAATTTATGGCAATACTAATTCATTTCCCAGGGTCCTCAGAAATTAATAACTTGTTAGGGTGAAATCCTAAGACATAAACAAAACTTGTATAAAACCAAATTTTGTTCAATGCCGTTTTTTCACTGTCTTTATTTAAAATGAATCAAAAGGAATTTATCTCTGATAGCTCAAAGATTTCTGTCACCCAGTCTGTCTAGAACGTGAAAGCTTGAGTGTGGAGTTATAGGTACGCACATATGTGCACACAAATGGTAGGATTTATACCTGAACCTGTCTGAGGTCTCAAACGCCAAGTGCTATGTAGAGAGCGTGCCTGGGGTGCCCCCTCTGTAAGAGGCAGGTTACGACCAAGTAGGAGGTTCTCCTAGTCGGCTGATTGCACATCCCACCTGATGGAAGAGGAAGAGGGAGATTGCTTGATAACACAGGGAGAATTCTTAGTGTAGGAGAAAACGTTTGTTTGGATCCATGTGGGCCAGGGACAACACACTGCAATCAAAGAACTATTTCCCCCCTCTGGCTGAGCTGCTGGAACCAGAGAAAATGAGTAACTTAATGAAGCATTATTCTTAGCACGCAGATAATTTGGAAGCCTATTTGGGCACATAATGATAATTTTCTTTGACCTGTCAATTGCCTCTTTTTTGAAACTTCCTGGAACTCTGTTAGATATTATAAACTCATTGAAGAAATGGACTGCGATTTACTCACCTTTGTATCTCAAAAGCTCTTGGTGGCCATTCAGTCCATGTTTATTGATGTAGATTCAATTGAGAAGAGGTAGCCGTACTCCTTTCTCTGGAGAGAACTGTRGGCTGGTAGAAGTTTCTCATAAGCATCTTTAAGAAGAGCTGCTTTAAAATCCAGAGAAGGTTGAAGCTGTGTATAAGACTGAAAAAAAAATTAACCCCCCCAAAAACAACTGAATATTATGGTCGACTTAATTCCATGAGCACCATTCAAACTAGGGATAAAATAAACAGTAATTATGAACCAATAACAATGAACGCTTAATGAGGTATTTATTTTAACTAGGTGTCTGGGTTATCTTTGACTCTTTTTCTAAATTAAGCATTGGAGTTTTCAACTGGATKAGTAGTGGCTATTGCCTGCTAATATTTTGCTGTGTTAATTAAAAGGTATGGTTTTGATTTTCTTAAAGCAAGAGAGAGATCCACCACGAAAATGAATGTGTTTCTGTTTGTCAGGCTGTGGACAGCCAAGCCTAGGTTTTGCCATTGCCTTTTTTTGTTTTGTTTTGTTTTACTTTATTAAATATGAGGGGTTCGGGGTGAAATAGTGGCATGAGTGATGTCCTTACTAATCCACACCAATGACAGCAAAGGCGTGGCTTCTCTCCCATGCTGTTCAGGTGACAATGTTTCTTAGACCGTGCTGTGATTTGTTGGTTTATTCATTATTGTCCTTTCTTGAGTTTCCTATAAATAAAGACTATATCTCCCTACTTTCATTTTAGCATCCCCAAAGTGTACCTGTGCCTGGCATGTTGCAGATAAATACTAAATGTGGAATGAATGAATAAGGAAATGAATGRGTGAATGAATGAATGGCTAAATGAAGCGTGCTTTCTTATAGGACACTTGTACCCTACCTACACTGACACCCTTCTGCCCCTATCAGCTCTTCGTGTGTGTGTGTTGTACTGGTTCGATAGTGATAGGATGACAGTGGTTTTCTTACGCATCTTGTACTTTTTTATGGGGTCGTTTTTTTCCCCCTTCTCATCTACATTAGCATTTCGGTCACCCAACATCTAGGGTGGTACATGATGCTTTTATTTCAGTAAATTAGTGAAAGAACCAATAAATGAAGGAATAGAGCTGAAGATGTTTTTCTCCTAATCTATGCCTATCTTTGTACGACTTTCTGGGAGATAGGGAAAGAATTCATGTGAATGCCACAGAAGAGATAAGGTACACAAGAACAAAGCAGAGAAATATGTAGAAAAGCATGCAAATATTATTTTTCAGTTAAAATTATACCTTCATTTTATAAAAAAATTCTTTTTATTTTTACGTGACGGTGGAATATATTTTGGCAGATTATACATACATAGAGTATAACTTTTATTCTATTTAGGATCCCACTCTGTGGTTGTCCATGATGTAGAGTTACCCTGGTCATGTATACAAACACAAGACTAGGAAAGTTATGACTGATTGATTCTACGGTCTTTATTATTCTCCTCCACCCTCCCTTCCCTTCATTTCCCTTTGTCTGAATCAATGGATTTCTATCATTGCTGTCCCCAACCTTCTTTGTTTTGGGTTAGCATCCACAAATCAGACAGAACAGTTGGCCTTTGGGTTTTGGAATTGGCTTATTTCACTTAGCATATCCTCCAGTTCCATCTATTTACTGGCAAATGCCATAATTTCATTCTTCTTTATGGGAGAATAATATCACATTGTGTGTGTGTGTGTGTGTGTGTGTGTGTGTGAATGTGTGTCTATGTGTGTGTGTGTGTATGTATGTATGTGTGTATATATATATATCACATTTTGTTTATCAATTCATCCATTGAAGGGCACCCGGCTTGTTTTCAAAGCTTGGCTATTGTGAGTTGAGCTGCTATAAACATGGATGTGGCTACATCACTGCRGTATGCTGTTTTTAAGTCCTTAGGGTATAGACCTAGGAATTGGATAACTGGGTCAAATGATAGTTCCATTCCAAGTTTTCTAAGAAATCTCCTACTGCTTTCCAGAGTGGTTGCCCCAATTTGCAGTCCACGAACAATATATGAGAGTACCTTTCTCCCTAAACATTTATTGTCGCTTGTATTCTTGATAATTGCCATTCTGATTGGAGTGAGATGGAATCTCAGTGTAGTTTTAATTTGCATTTATCTAATTGTTAGTGATATTGAACATTTTTTATACATTATTTGACCTTTYRTATTTCTTCTTCTCTGAAGTGTTTATGCAGTTCCTTTGCCCATTTATTGATTAAGTTATTTATAGTAAGTTTTTTGAGCTCTTTGTATATCCTGGAAATTAATGCCTTATCTGAAGTACTGGTGTTGAAGATTTTCTCCCATTCTGTAAACTCTCTCTTCATGTTGTTGATTGTTTCATTTGCTAAGAAGAAGCTTTTTAGTTTGAATCCATCCCATTTATTGATTCTTTATTTTACTTCTTTTGCTTTAGAGTTGGGCCTACTTTTTCATCTGGTAAGTGCAGGGTCTCTGGTCTAATGCCTAGGTCTTTGATCTACTTAGGGTTCAGTTTTGTGCAGGGTGAGAGATAGGGGTTTAATTTCATTTGGTTACATATGAATTTCCAGTTTTTCCAGAACCATTTTTTGAAGAATCTATCTTTTCTCCAATGTACGTTTATGGCACCTTTGTCTAGGATGAGATAAAAGTGTTTTATTGATATATTTATGTGGGTGTGTCTCTGTGTCCTCTCTTCTGTTCCATTGGTCCTCACGTCTGTTTGGGTGCCAATATCTTGCTATTTTTGTTACTATAAGAATATGCAAAAATTAAGTGTGGACTCCTAAAGTTTTGGTAATGTACAGAATATGGAGGGAGGGTGGAATAGACTGAATTTGTCGAAGAAGTAGATCTTGAGGAAAACATGATGATTTAGAGTTTTGCAAAGATTAAGGAAAGTATTTCACAAAGCYGGAGAAGTGTGACCAAAACCATGGGTTCAGGAGATACCTAAAGACACAGTTTYCTGTGTGATAACCAATGAGACTCCTGGTCCGTTGGGTTTGAGAAGGACTGCATGATGATATTTGATATGATAAAGAAAGCCAAGGAATAGCTTTGAACATCAAGATCAAAATTAAGGTTGTGCCGCAGGTACCATGACCACCCCTAGTGTAGGTGAGGTTATGGAACTGATACAACAACCCCCAAATCTCTAAATCACACACATATTCTCTCTATATATTTGTGTAAGTACATATATTTGTATATAAATATTTTACTTACATATTTGTAGACATATTTCCTGTTACATATTTCTATATTTGAGCTCATATATGTGTGTGTATATATATATTTATGTTTGTATATGTGTATTTATGTCCTGTTCATCCCAGGTGGGGACAGAGGTCTAGTCTATTCGATAGTCATTCTGGGCTCACTCTGAGGGAAGCTCCCTCTCTGTGATTCTGTAGTTGCCAACACAGGAAAAGGGAAACATGGCAAATTATTTCTGGGATCCTGACTTTTGACCTGGAAGAACACAGATCACTTCCATTTGAATTWWTWWTTTTTTAACTCAAAGAACAATCTTGAATTGATGTACRTAGGGAAGGATATAACCCTTTGTCATGTTTTACAAATACGTATTTCCTAACTTATATTTGCTCCGTTTTCGAGATATTATGGGATATATACCAATTATACAAAACATGCCAATTTCCTTTAAGAGTGTCACACTCTACTTCAGACTATCCAAGTAAATCTATAAAAGAGAGTTAGGAAACACAGCAGGCATTTTACGACTATCTGATAGAGAAAGAGTATGTGATAGGAAGTGTTGTCAGCTTAGAAACAATGAACTTGGCAGGAGGACTGTGGTAAGGACCCTTCATCTCATTCCATCTGACGTCAGGCATCAGAGAGGACAATGCCATATATGTACCTAAAAGGATTAATAAAATGCTCCACTGCTTCTTAAAAAATAATCTTTAAAAGAAAAAGTATTTTATTTATTATCTATGCAGACCACTTAATGGAAATGTGAACTTGATAGGTGTATGATATTAAAAAAATACATTAAGACTTTTCTTCAGAATAAAATTTATAGCCTAAAGTTCATAAAATGTAATTTATACAAAGTGCTCTGCTG